CGCGCAATGAACGTATGAAGCGCCGGAAGTGACTATTGGATAGCAGCAAACCGACATGACGGATGGATAAGCTGACTATCGACCATATAAAAGCAGGCACTTTCACACTGACACAACAAACGGCAAGATCGCTTTGACGTGAACGCGTCGAGAGTAACGAGTATAGATATTTCGTGATTTTAACATTTTTTTCATTATAAAAGACGAAATTTGACGTTTAAGAATTTGTAAGTGGAAGACAAAGAACAACAATGGCCAAGTTCAGCTTCAAAGTATATTTGGTAGGCGAGGATTCGTGGGCACCCACGGAAGTGCGCAGATTTGGTATTGATGCCGATGTCGCGACAAATTTTGTGTATTTGCAAGAAAAGCTGCGGAACATTTTCCCGAATCTACGAGGGAAAAACTTCATCATCACTTGGAAAGGTTAGTAAATTTTTTTTTTCGCTTTTATCTTGATAGCATACCAAGTTTACTAATACCAGCTGCTGACATGGCTTATCAGTGTCTTTTGTAAAGGGAAGATAAGCGATTAATTCATCGCATTTGTATGTTATTACGAATACTTTTGTTATCTTTTGCTACTTGAAATTTTTTTAACTATAATGACAAATTTAGAATCTTTGAAATACTTATGCCACACAAAGTTTTTATTTCGAACTCAAAAAATCTTTTTTCTATTTAATAAATTTTTATTCTGAGTTGTGTGTGAGACAGTATCATATTTTTTAATTTAATTTTGGAAAGCTAATATGCATAAATCTTGCTATTATTAATAGTTTTAATAAAAGAAAAAAGACTGAAAGAGTATTAGTAAATATGTTATTATGCTTTTATTATTTTATATCTGAATATAACAAAAGTAAATATAAATAATTAAAAAATTATTGTAAAAATTATTTTTATTTATTCTGTTTTGCTATATTTCTAATTTTATAAATACCAAGTATTTAATACTAATACCAAGTATTAATAAAATTAGAAAACAATATAGTATGTTTTCCAGCAAAGGACACAAGTTGACACAAATCGACACAAGTATCACTTTGTCTTTGTTCGATATTCAATGAGCAACAGAGATAATACTTTTGTGTCGCTTGTGTCTTTTGGTGGAAAACTACCGTAATTAATATATATATGATAAATTTTCATATTTATATTATTTCTTACATATAATACCAACTTTACAAAATTTATTTTATAAATTTTTTGCAACATTTCTTATTGTACCAAGAAATGAACTAATAGAGTAAATATTTTCTGTATGCTAAATAATAATTAAAATTTGATTTAAAACAAAACTTTTTTTTATATACAGATGAAGAGAACGAGACCATTACAATATCGACTAATGAGGAACTGGAAATTGCTTTGACAGAAATGTCAATCAAGAATGATGTTTATAAATTTTACATTATACTGCAGTATGAACGAGACTCGATGGACATGTCAAAGATAGAGAAAATATTACATCCTGGTGTAATATGCGATGTTTGTGATAAAGATATACACGGCTTTCGCTTTAAATGTATGCAATGTCCAGATTATGATCTATGCACTGAGTGCATGGCACACGGTAATCATCCAGAACATTACATGGTTCGTATGACGGAACCAGTTGAATGGTCAAGTTATCATGGTCGCCGTCTTGCTCATCATGTGCGGAAATTTTTGAAGAAAGCAGCACAGCACAGCAAGGACGAAGAGCGCAAGTGTCCTTACAAAAGCAGCAAGCGAGGCAACTGTCCGCTGTACAACATGTCAGGTGGTACAATTGGCCCCTTTGATCCCTTTTTTATAAACCCTTTGGTGAATTTTGTAATGGACATGTATGTTGATCCATTAGACGAGTTCCATGAGCAGAAACGGACCAGAGAGCAGCGTAGAGAGCCGTCTGCTGAGGCTGCTACTGAAGCAACAGAAGATACACAGCAGGAGGCGAGCAGGCACAGTTTCTCGCAGCTGATGAAGATCTTTGAGGACAATATCTCCAACATCTCTCAATTTCTAGACCCGCTTGGCATCAATGTCACCATGACTGACATTGATTCCACAAAAAATAAACCTAATAATGATACCCAAACAAAATCTAATGGGCAAAAATCCGAAAATCGCGCGTCTACGTCATCTGAGGAATCCGCTAAGAAATTCCCAGGCGAGGGAAAGAAATTGCGTGACGATGTTGTAGGTACTGCAGATGAGAAGGCCCCTGTGACCAACAATTCTGCTACTTCATCTGCACCGAAGGAAGTAGCAGCAACAGCAGCAGCAGTCGCAACTAATGCTGAACAAGCATCTGAAGCCGAAGAATGGACATTGGTGCAACGTGAAAGCTGCGATAGCCATGCATCTTCCACTTCTTCTTTGAATGGAGCTACGCCCAAACAGGTACGTTCTGATCGAACACAATAGGAATATGTTGAATTATTAAGATATGCTTAAGAAGTATAACAAATTTAAAAATTAATTAATATAAATATTTCTTGAAGTATATCAAGATATAATTAAGAAATATAATTTAATATGTAATATAGATGATCATATAGATGGTAGATAATCAAAAGTGAAATAGAATATCTTATTATCTTTATATTGTATACGTATATCATGTATTTAGAATACTTTATCATACAGAATCCTACACCATCTGCGCCAGTAGCAACTTCAGCAGAATCGAAAACAGAATCGCCAAAGCAGAATATTTACCCATCCTTACCTGCGGAAGTAAGAAAAGAATTTTATCATCCGAATCCCAAGATCCAGCGCGCTGTCGAAGCGATGATGGCGATGGGATTCTCCAATGAAAGTGGATGGCTCACCCATCTTTTGGTTTCAAAAGACGGTGATATTGGCAAAGCGCTAGACGTACTACAACCAGTATCACGCAATCATTAACAAGGCCAAAACTTTGATAGATGCTAGTTTAAGATAATATATGAAACGGTAAAGGCAAAGGGTTAATAGTAGGTTAATAGTAGGTTAATAGTGGATGTTCTTAATAGTTCCGGTGAATTTATAATTATTATTCATTAATCACATTTTATATACGTATACTATGATTTTATCTTGGAAAATTTCATTAATATTGAACTGTTTTTAATTAACACTAACTTTTTAATTAACACTATCGATAACACTTCTCTGCATTATTCTCTGCATTATTAAACTAATATTATTGTATAAAAATTAATATATTATTCTATTATAGAGAAAAAAAAGCCAGAAAAAGCTTTTGAGTGTGCATTATAAAATATATATTATTACACTTATGTATAATTGCTCTTTATGCTAATAAAATTGTCATGATACAAAAACCTGGTGTTTCTTCGACTAAAAAAATTTTCCTATTAAACTCGATAACCTTTGATTAAAAATTAAAAACTTGAGATTTTTATGTTTTTATTATAAATATCTATGCGCAAAAATTTTTTTTACAAGAATTTACATTGTGCCATTAAGACTAATGGATTTTTATTACTGAGTAATTCTAATTCCTTTTGACGACTGGATGTTATGTCTCTGATCCATTTGCGATCTTTATAGTACTCTATCATACTATCAAATTCCGTGACATTGTAATCATCAACTAAAATAGGTAAAAATGGATCTAAATGCTCAAAACCTTCTTTACCAAGTAAATATCTGGGCAGATAGGACTCTCGTCTTTCCTAAAATAAAAAAATAAACGATATTTTCTCTAATTACATTGACATATTAAAATATAATTTTATTCACATAAAGTATTGCTCAATTATATGACAAATATGTGACGACATACCTTATTTGCTTTCTCATCTACAGTTAGTACGACTGCTCCATTGCACCAATCATCCTTTGTGATATCGTAAAACGGTTTCGTCAATGAGACTTGCTTAGGTAGAACCATCGTTTTATTATCATCGCGGATACGCGTATAAGTCGAAGTGAACGCATTGAATCCATCTACTACCACTATTGTTTTACACTTCCCCGCAGTGCTAGCGAGCTTTAGTTCCTTTATTAATGCTTCCACCACGCCACAAGCATATTTTACACGATTTATGCCGAATTCTACAAGTTGTAGTATAGGTGTACCTTGTGAAGTTGTTTCACGTTGGTTCCATGTATAATTGTTGGATGTTTTAAGCTGTAAAATAAATGTATAATAAATTAAAATTGATAAATTAATAATAAGGCTTTTCTATTTGTCTATTATTGAAGAATGTAATGGGCTGCCAATGCAGAATGACTTATTATAAGCATTGAAATCTTGTAATCTAGAATTCTAGACCATTTCTTTGTTTAAAATATAAAATTTCAATGCATTACAGTAAAGAAATTGAAATTTCTAAAACTGTAACCTAACCTAACAAATGTTATAATATAACATTACAAGGCATAAAAATGAATAAAATGTACATTTTAACATTCTAATCCATTTCTTTTTTTAAAATATAAGATTTCAATGCATTGCAATAAAGTTTTGGGCCTACCAAATAATATAATATAAGATATTAAAATGTAAATTTTACCATTAATATACATTTTATTCATTTTTATGCTTTAGAATCTTATATCACATTTGACATGAATTTGGCTTAGAACTTTACTGTGATACATTGAAATCTTATATTCTAGAATTGTAGATCATTTCTTTGTTTAAAATAAAATTTCAATGTATCGCAATAAAAAAAATGTACATTCTATAGTTCTAATCTACTAAATGTGTTATGTATTCTAATATATTAAAATATACATACATCCAATTGTGAAAGTAATTGTAAGTTTTGAGTTTTGAAGTGCTTTAACCATAATCCAGCATCAATAGGCAAATCTATACAACCTGGAGATAATATTGAATTTGCAACTTCCTTCATGTCTTTAAACCAATGTGGAGCTAAAAAATAAACAGTAATTAATTACTAATTATAACACCAATATAAAAAAATATATGTATTATTTATATAAAATAATAACACATACCCCAATGTATATGAACAAGTATATATTTCTCAATAAAAGCATAGTGTAATATGTGAGCTAACGAAATGCTTTTTCCTGTCCCATGCTTTCCATCTATTCGATATCATTAAGATATTTTTACTAAGTATTTATAGAAATTTTATGATTCTATAAATCTAAACAATTCAAATAATAAAAAATATTTATAAAATTTTACAATTATAACTTTAAAAAAAATATGACTACATTTTCTGTTTTTAAAAGGATACATAACACATATTTATTGACAGGCCTTGTATAATCAGCCTGATGGAGATACGATATAATTTCAACTGCCGGCTGTCTAATCAATATTGAACACTCTTGAAAAGTGATAACTTGTTTCATAAATGAACGAGTCAAACCACCATGTAGAAAGATTTGCTCTTGAATGTCTGTTGGTATTGTGTATAATCTGGCGAGATGGTTCACATTATGTTTAACTGGATTATTCTCAGTTGTGCGGAAGGAGCACACTTGACTCGGTTGCTCATCCTTTACTTGAACAGCAGTACTGAATGTTCTATATGTTTTTTGTATTTTTCTCAAAAATAAACCTGCAAAGATATATATATATTACTATATATTATACTTTCTTACAATCATAAACTGTTTTATAAAAAAATTATTTATTGTTACTATTACAACTTTTATCAAATTAGTTATAATTAACAGTACTTGAGTACATAAAGTTTATAAAATCAATTTGACAACATTTTTAAGTCACACAATACACTATTGAGTAAATCATTAGTAACAATTGAAGAGCACACACAAACAATATTAATAGAAAATAAAATCTTACGTAAACGTAAAGACATCGTGCTATTGTTGCTTGTTAAAAGAAGTGCAGTCGAGAAATATTAAGTGGTATTTATCATAAATTCTTGCTTCAAAATTATATACAATTATATATTCGATAGATACATCTTACAACGCTGTGTGCTACGCATGTGTCTTTAACATAACCTCTTCAAACAACCGAGCTCTATAAAGGCCTGTGTCCACGATCCGAGAACTCGGTCCGGTTTCTCGGATAGAACTTTTATCACCAGATGTTTGTTCTCTATTGACTGCAGATGGTGTTATAATCGACTACATAAAGTTAGACTCGTAATTTTAATTGAGTACCAACATTTTTTTGTGTACAATTAAAAAAACAGGTTATAAATTATATGATCATAACTTATAAATATTTTTGGAAGAATATAAATGTTGAATTATAACCGTAAGTTTTTATTTTATTATTAAGTTTTTATTTCTAATTGTACTGG